TCTAATCTAAGTGACACTAAATATCATGAAAATTATCCATTTATGCGCCTTTTTAAAATCACGGTTCCGAACGTAGTTGGATACCTTAATAATAATTTATTCGAAAGTAATATTTGTGTCTCCAAGCAGCATGAATTCAGGTCGGAATTCTCCACACCGTGGCAAATGCTTAAAATCCCCATCTTCTTTATTGCATTATTCGCAATTTCTTGGTTTAAATCAGTGGTATTCAATCTGTGTTCCATAGAACCCTGGAGTTCCACGAGGCATATCCAGGGGTTCCATGAGTCACAATAAAAATTCAAAAAGAAAATTATAAATATGTATTCAAAATGGATTCATGTTCCCTTTGAAGTTTGTATGTCCACACAAGTATCTAAAACTTATCTCAGACATTAAAACTAAAAATTTTATTTATACATAACATAACTTTTTGAAACACATTTTATATATAAACTTTTATTTTAATAATAAAATAATATTAAAACATTTTTTCTTTATATGTGCTACCTATTAGATCGTGATTATTCTATTTACAATATCAGGTTCCACGAGATAATTTTATATTCTTTAGTTAACACAATATTTTGCAAAACTAAATAGTTTTCTAATGGAAAATGGACCTTTTTGCATTTGTGGAAAAAAGATCTATAATGAAAGAGAGGAAATAAAACTTATCAACAGTTTCGATTTTAAAATCTAAATTTAAACAAGAAAAGCTTCTAAATTTTAGATTGCTTACACAGCTATAAACATTTTAATACCATTTAGAACATCGTGTTTAAGTGAAATATATTTCTCAACATAAATGGCTACAAAAACAAAAAAATTAAACTCAGAATATGTAATGCAATTGCTTTTAATCTCAATAGACCTATATTTCGATAGTTTGTATGAGAAAAAGCAAGCACGCATATCCCAATTACCAAATGTAATGCTTGGATAGGTGACACTTGGATCACAAATTAATAATATTAATGAGTAAATTATATTTAAAAAATAAATTAGAATTTTGTAATAATAAATGCAATAATTTTTTATTTGCTTTTACATAAAGTACCTAGAACATGTTGATTTACTTTAAATATTGTTTTGAGGTATATTCTTCAAAGTATGTGCATGGAATGGGGTTCCACGAAAACGCTTTCTGTTTCTAGGGATTCCATGAAAACCCCTTCAAGTTCTAGGGATTCTGTGAGTTGAAAAAGTTTGAAGACCACTGCTTTACAGAATAAACATTTCTGTCATAAAATTGGCTCAAAATTACGAGGTCAGTCTCCAACAGCTCTCGTGTTGCTTTATAGTGCGACTTAATAAACACTCTCACCCTCTATCATAAAATTCCACTGTTAATGGATTTTGGAATTTTCAATATCTTCATCAGTATCCCACAAGTTATGGATTGAAATGCTTAGATTTCCAAATTTTCTTTTACATTTATACCATAATTAATTCCAATGAATTGAGTTATTTGTGTTAATAAGAAAGCCGAAGAGCAATCATGTGTAGAAAGTAAAAAGAATAAAAAATGGGATTTTTAGGTGATTTATTCTAATCCCCGGATAGCTACGGGATGAGTGAAAATGTGACATTTTGTCGAACAGATGGATTCATTTCCTCTTGATATCAAAACACCCCATTTCGGACAAAACGACAGACAAACCCATTGTAACCGATTCCTAGTTCTAGGACATTCCTCTGAATAAAGTACATCACGAAATGACAGCATTAGACAAAAGGGGTCTGGCAACAGCAATGCATTAGTCATCAGAAACGCCCTCTCTCGGATTTTTAACAAAATTCAAAATATTCTTTTCACTGAGTCATCAGGGTAAAACTTTTTTTTTTGTTGACACGGAAAAGTCTGAAAAATGTTGTTGGTTGTAAAAAAAAGGCCCCCGCCTCTTTTTGATTCAAACTACTGGGTTACAGGAAACTGCTCTGTGTTAATGGATAATGGAGGATATATGGGTGGAATAAAATTTTAAAAACCTTCTCCTGTCAATGGCAAGTTTATATTCACCGCCGCAAAGAATGATGCTCTATAAAACTTAATGAAATGTAAGTATTATGAAATGGAGTTATAAAAAAAATCAGAATATTTTATTTTGAATTAATTTTGAAGGCTGAGAATATGATGCAAATGATTAGAATCATGAAAAGAACGGTACTTTTTTAAGGGTCATTATGATGTCATTCACTTCTCCTGTACGTTAGTATTTTCATGATATCTGTTACGATAAACTTTGGTAATAAATTTTAATTGATACTTGGTAAGCATTTATATGTTTCAACAAGTTGATAATAATATTTTTAATGATAGAATCTATCAAAAACCTTATATGATTATTTCTCAGAATTTTTCTGAATGAGTAAAATATAATTTGGTGAAATAAAGATTGTATATCCATTACAACAGATAATATTGTATATTTTTGTAAGAGTTTTTTGAAAAAAAAATTAGCATGTGTGTAACGGGTATATTCGCGGACCTCCTACTAATTCTCTTGGGGGAAAAATGTTTTTTTTTAAATGTTATTCTATTGAAAACTTTCTCCCGAAGAAGAAAACGTGACTTATGTAAATCAAGGCTTATATTTAAACACTAGCTGGTATACCCGTTCTTCACACGGGTGAATTTAAAAATTAAACAATGCAGACTGAAGGATAAAGAAGTTGTTAATGAGTTAAGTTTACGTAAATTGTAAATTAAACAAAAAAAAAAAAAAGCTTTTTGCATATCTCAGCTAAACAAAAAAAACCCTGTTCGCTAAATTTTAAGTCTTTAGATATAATAGCTGAATTTTTTAATTTTTTAAAATTATTGTTATTATTTATGACGCCCCGTAACTTTCTTGTGAGTCGATTTTTTTAAAGCACCTACCTGCTCATCAAAAGTAACACATTGTTACAAATTTTGTGCAATAAACGCTTAAAATAGAGTAAATAATTTGTATCTGGATGTGTAACACGTTAATATTACTTTCTGTTGCATTTATTTTATGTTAAATAGCTGTTATATATACCCGCGACTTCGTCCACGTGGAATTTAACAAAAAGTGTTTGTTCACTTCGCAGAGTTAACGAAAACTTAATAATTATGTATTCTACGTAAAGAAATACCTATACTACAAGTATAATGTCATTCTTCTACTTTGTGAATCTATGTTTCTATTTGTTTTATTTTTTTTTCCCTTCGTTTTTTGTTGAGCAAAGGGTGAAAGGGACGCATGACCTTTGACACTGTCGATGGGGGTAAGGACTAAAATCATTAGGATCAAAATAGATCTAAGTAGCAATAGGGTGAAACGCGAATACAAAGGAAGCCGCAAGGAAGGGGGTGAAAGGGACGCATGACTTTTAACAAAGCAGTTAAGGACTGTAAAATCTTTAGGATCAAAGGAGAAGAACGGGAATTGTCGTGAGTGGGGCAGCAACCTAATCAAACAGAAAAGTTTGATATAACCGCTAGAAATCGTTGAGACAGAAGTCTCACGAAATAAAATAGTCCCTATTGAATAAAAATAATCCCTATTGAAATAAATAATTCCTATTTGCTATTGGGATATTGCTCACTATTTCATTGGTTTTAATTTTATTTTCTCGGAACCCTAATTTTTTTTTCTATAATAAAAGTAGCCTAAGTTATTCCTTATAACATTAGCTATCTGCCAGTGAAAGTTTCGTCAAAATTGATCTAGCCGGAACAAAGAGACAAACAGACAGACAGACAAAAATTTTAAAAATTGATTTTTTCTTATAAGTACCGTATATACTTTTAAATGCATTTAGTAAAAAGCTGTTAATTTCAAATTACAAACAGACACTTCATTTTTATTTATATGTATAGATAAACTCTTAGGTTCGAGGGAGAGAGAGGTTAGGAGCTAAATGATAGCAGTTAGTCATTAACGTATAGTAGTAGAAAGCTGGTCGAGAGTGATTCGTAAATTATTTGCTTAATATTTAAGATTGACGATTTGCCAATTAGATATTTAAATTGGATTAATGCCAGCGTAAAGTAGCTTAACTTAGAACGTATCTTCGATTATTTGGAATGTGTATGGCTAAGACGTTCCAAGAGAGTAAGTGAGTAAATTTATTACTAAATATTAATTATATCATCTTCCTCGCTTTTGCTCCCCTACTTACTTAAAGGTGCATTTCCTAACTTGGGTTGTTGAGATTTGATAGGTTGTTGAGACTTGTTAGTAAGCTATATTTGTTTTGAATATGGCTAATCTTGATTCTAACTCTCGTACACTGATACAGCCCATCCATCACATGTGTAACATTGCATAACATTGACCAAGCAGACAGAAACTAAAAAAAAAAGAAAAAAAAAAGAAAAAGAAATTATAAAAATTTGAAAATAAAGAAATCTATGATGAATTACCTTTTTGCAATGTGGTCATTTCACAACATATAAATATATATTAGAATCCTCGTATCGCACAGAAGACTCTTGGCGTAGAGGGCCTGTTACACGTTCGAGGTTTAAATTCCTCGCGTCGATTTGAAGTTCGATGATTGAGATACCATCTCGGGTGTTAACTCGTTATTGATCGCAGTTTGAAATTATGCGGTTCATTGTCAATATATCTCGCATTGTGTTGAAATGCGACAGTAAAAATCAGTCAAAGCACAATATATGTATTTTATATTCAAATAAAAATTTTGAGTAATAATAGAGATTTAAGAAAAAACAAGTACTATTTAAAAATAAATTAAGTCAATTCCTTCTTGGTCAACAAAGAAAATTTTTATTTTAGTTACATTTTATTAAATAATTACAATTAATATAAATATGTATATACATATGACAGAATCACAATATTAAGACGCGAAATAGAAAGCGATTTTCCTTGCAATTTTTATATTTTCCTTTCTATATATGGTGTTGGACTAATTTTGTTTGTTACTATTTATTCAAAAATTAAATTTAATTATTCTAATAAAATAGTATAGTAAAAAAGAAATCACATTCTAAGAAATTAGGCCATTCCAGGTGGAAATCGAACCCACGACCTTTGGATTAGAAGTCCAACGCGCTTATCCATTGCGCTACAAAGACACAATGAACGATTTTTCCTTTTTATACATGCTGTTGGACTATTATTTTTGTTTGTTATTATATATTTATTTTTTTAATTTAATTAACGAATTAATATTTGAAAAAAAACTGTATTAGCATCAAGTGTCATCCACTACAAGTTTAAAAAATGTATTTGAACTTGAATAGATAAAAAGAAAGTATTATATTGACGATTGAATTCGAACAAGATACATTCATACATATATATATATGTGACGAATCCCCAGCCCTTCAAGTGTCAGTTGGAGTAACTTTCGGCGGACTTACGAAAAACCACGTGAACGAACGACGCTGAAATAGGACTCGTTTTGTCATGGCTTAGAGTACAGACTGCTTTGCTGAACATTAACAATAGTAGAAAAGAAAATAGAAATTGAAAAAGGATTCCTTTTTAATTTAATAGAAAAGAGAGGCGAATCGGAACCACAGCAAACTTTAGAATTAAAAGCCGGGAGAAATTCCTAATTGGGCGAGGAATTCAATTTTGAACTTCATGTAATTTAGAAAGAGATGTGTGTATCGACTATCCAGTAAACGTAAGGTGTGGATTGAATTTTTTTTTCAGAATTTCAAAACCTAACTATGCGGAAAAAATATTCTCTGGTGTATAGATGATGAGAAAAGTAAAATAAAAAAAAAATTATGTAAAGTACTGCCTCAAGGGGAATACAATTTAGATATGAAAAGTCAAAGTAATTTTTAAGGGGAAAAAATGATGTATTTTGTACTTTTTAACATTTACTGCGATGAGAGGACATCTACTAAATAGTTACAAGAAAACACATTAGGTACATTTAACGGCGTTATTAAGGCTAATTTTTTTTAAGAAAGCCTACTCTGAAATAGCAAGGCACGATAAATCGGAAGGCAAGAAAAAAGCTTGGTACGGACTGATTCGACGGTGCGTGGAGAGAGAGTTGGGGTTATGAATAATTGCATTGTACTATTCACTACTCAGTACTCATTTACCAGTAATTATCATTTTTGGCTATTTATATTGTAGAAAAACAATTTTATTTTGAGTCTAAAATCAACTAACCTAAATTACGTCTTTTTCCATTTTTTTCAAAAATTCTTCCCCTTTAAGGTATCCGACTACGTTCAGAACCGTGATTTTAAAAAAAGCACATAAATTGATAGTTTTCATGATATTTATTGACACTTAGATTAGAATACATGTATAAAATTGTTTTAAGGACATTTTGACAAAAAAAATTTATTTAAATACAATATTTTGGAAAAAAATTAACTTAGAATAACCTTTTTTCAAAATCTCCTTTTGTGAAAAATGCTTCTATTCTAATATTTTGCCTGTATACAGCTCAGACCTCTGTACAGAGGCTCAACTATGATTTTTGAAAAGTTCACATTATTTTCAGAGTTACAACCCATTAAAATAATTATCGGCGTTATTTTCCAAAAATATCTCCCCTCTATTGTCATAAACCCACTTCTAAGCTATATATTTAAAAAACTCTAGTTGAGCCTCTGTACAGAGGTCTGAACTATATACAGTTGAAATATTATTATAATAGAAGGATTTTTCACATAAGGAGAATATTTTAAAAATGGGTCATTCTATGTTCATTTTTTGTCAAAATATTGAACTCAAATAATTTTTTATTGTAATACTATTCTTAAAATAATTTTATATCCATTTTCTAATCTAAGTGACACTAAATATCATAAATATTATCCATTTACACGCTTTTACAAAATCACGGTTCCGAACGTAGTCGGATACCTTTAGACAATATTATATTTTGATTTTATTTTTTTTTTTTAAAATCTTCCACACCACAGAACACATTTTCCACAAAGGTAGGTTCTGATTAAGAATAATTTTTTTCTCCATATTACTTTAATCCACTCTTCTAAGGTAATTTCTAGATCACTGGTGTAGCTATGTCTGAGTGGGACCCGTATCAAAATTCCTTCGGGGGCCCCTTTTTTAAAAATAAATAAAAATTATCACATAAGCAAAATTTATTTGAAAGTGTTGAAATAATTACACATAGATATACGTAACAAAAACTTTATTAATTAAGAGAATTAGATACTTTTGTGTTTAATAGGTACTTTTCTCGGTTTTTTTTTCTGAAAATGCATTTATGATAATGTCTATAGTAGAAGAGGATTTTAGTTTTTCCAGCTCTTCAGTTTCTATCGACAATATTGCTAAGTTTGATAACCGGTCTTGCCCTATAAAAGTTCTAAGATAGTTTTTAATAATTTTTAATTTAGAGAAGCTTCTTTCAGCTGTTGCACTTGTAACTGGAAGAGTTAAAAATAGCAGGCATGCGGTTATAATATCCGGAAAACTGGAAGCGAGGTTATTAATAATTAATAGTAATTCTGCGAGCTCTTTGATTGAATGGGTTTTCTGAACTTCGTATTTTAAACAACCTTTTAAAGAAATTAATTGTTCATAGATACCGGGTGTTAAGTCCTTATTGTATTCATTGGCTAGTTTTGTGGCTTGCTCTTTTATTTCTTTATTTGAAAAGGATAAGAGTTTATCTGGTTGTAAAATTTTGAAAATATTACTGAGATCATGTAGACTCTGAAATCTTTGTCGGGTTGGGATGTCAACACATCTAGACAGCAATAATATCTATTAACTTTGAAAGACGATTCCGGGTCTGAAACTCTCATCTGCTAACTCGTCAAAAAAGCGATTTGTTTGCTTTCGACTTTCATTTTTAAAAAACTGTGTTATACCCCATCCCTTAGCTAGATCTTCAGACTCATTTAACAAAGAACTGAATGAATTTTGGTTTCTAATTGCTACCAGTTCGTTCAGAAGATTATTCAGCAGAATACTAGCTTTTTGTAGGTCATTTTTTTAATGCTGTAGAGCCTTAGAAATGGGGTCTATGATTTTTAATAACCAAGAAAAAAAGGTTACAAACACTATAAAAATATAGTAATTATATTCTTACATTCGTTACGTTCGTCTTTTTTAGTTGAAATTAAACTTAGTTTACTGAAAGTTTTCATTTTTCGAATACCGAATAAGGCGTCATTTCTTGCTGACCATCTAGTAGGGCTACTTTCTAAAGGGCTATTTTATATTTTTCGGAAGGAAGAATCATTAATTAACATTGCCCAGCGTTTTGTGCTATCGCCAAAAAAGTATATATATATATTTTAAGTAATCGAAAAATTGTGTCACTTTGGTAATGTGTTTTGTAGCATCATTTAAAATTAAATTTAATGAATGTGCTGCACAATGAACATAATTGGCATTTGGTGCATGCTCTTTTATGAGGGTTTGTAACCTTCCATATTCTTCCGACATAACATTTGCTCCATCATAACCCTGTCCCCTACATTTAGACAAACCAATTCCATATTTTTCGATTGCATTTAAATTTCAGTTTTAATCCCTTGGGAAGTGCAATCGGCTGCTGATATAAATCCCATAAAGGACTTGCAGATTTTAATTTCGTTAGGTACATCATCCTTTTCTTTTATCTTAATACATCGAAACTCTATAGAAAGTTGATCAGTTTTTGAAAGATCCTGTGTAGTATCCATAATAATTGCCAGAAATGGGGTTTTTTTTAATTTTCAAAACAATATTTTCTCTAACTTTGGTTCCAAGCAAATTAATTATTTCATTTTCAATGGTGGGACTCTTAAATAATTTATTTCCCCCTTTGGCTTCAAAAAAAGTTCCTTTAAAACAGGATCATAATTAGATAGCAAGTGTAAAGTTGATATGAAATTTCCGTATTTGGAATTCTGGCCTCTTAAAGGTAAATTGCAAGCCGCTTAAGTAATAATAACATTAAATATTCGATGCAATACGTTTTGCCAAAAAGTAAATTTACTATTGATTTCACTATAGAATGGAATGTATTTCCTTGAAGCCAGTTGTTATAAGACAGAGCCGAATTAATCTGCTGAAGTGAATTTTCATGATCAGTAATAGTTTGTGTAAAATTGCTTCTAACGGAAACACCATTAACCCATGCTGAGAAATACGATTTGCATTAACGATCTGCTAACAACCAACAGAAGTGGCAATAGGGTTTGTTATAATAATTGAATGGTCTTAATATTTTTATCCCGGCCTTGTTCAAATATGAATAATGAAAATGTGAAAAGCATCGGTTTGATACTGGATCCTTTGGAAAGGGTCCTTGAGGCTTAAATGGGCCCAGTTTGAAAATTATTTTTCTTTCAGATTCTGTAAGGATGTCACCAAAATTACCTCTATCTGAAGAAGATATATTAATTGATTCTTCAAATTCCTTAGAATATTTGTTATATTCAACTTCTGTAGACTATGATAGACCATGTGCATCAGAAGATACTAAAAATATAATAAAACTAAATTGCTTTATATTCTGGGCAACAGCCAACCTACAAAAATAATCATTCAAGTCCTATTAACTCTCTAATTGTTTCTCATTGAAATTAAGACATTGTGAGAAATCAAGTATAGAAGTCTCGATAAATATTCGTATTTTTAATGCCAATGGTCTATTATGCACAAATACATTTTTATTCTTAAATTATTTTTCTGTTATTTGTTAACTGACATTGTAAGTTAATTCGAACACAATTAGAGCAAACGTAACAAATACACATAACTCAAGTGTCTTTCATGCAGATTCATTCTATATAATGTGAAACATTCTTATATGTAACATGAATGCTCTTATTCATTCATGAATATTCTTACATATAACTTGACTTTATATATAACAATATATAAAAACATTACAAATTACACTATTTTGTCTAAAGGCTACACAGTACTCTTTTTCAAAAACTTTGGAGGCAGTAATATTAAAAGTAATTTATGGTTTATTTTCAGATTATAATATTAAGTTGATTCTCAAAATAAGAAGTCAGATTGTCGAGCCATTATTTTAAAAACATAATGCTATAAAGTTTTTTTTATTCTTTAATAAAGTACTCAATTCTTAAATTTATTTATTTTAAGTGATTTTTTTTAAAAATTATTA